ACTCTTTTACCAACTAATAGTGGGATTGACCGTCACATTATAACGCCCCCACGGCTGAAAGGGCGAGCATGTTTTTGGTGGGACTGGGATTCGAACCCGCGACCCGCTGATTGCAAGTCGAGCTCCCTAACCACCTGGCCATGCCGGGCCAGGAATTAATGAAAAACCACAGTAAACGGAACAAACTTTCAGAAGTTTGATATTGGAGAAACTAGTTTCGATACATTCGTGCGTCCTCTTCAGTCTCATGTTGTCTTCTGGCAGGAAAAAACTGGTCAACAAACGCCTATTAACACCTGATCTAGGAATTTCCTTAAGGACACAGGAGGGTCAGGAAATTATTAAGTTTAAAGTGACCTTGGAAGGTGTTGAAATTAGGCAGGATTTTGATTAAACAACTTTCGACCATTCTTCTTCTTTTTTATGTAGTTACCGGTTTTGTATAAAATTATTTTTGATTTCCAATTAAATTGATGGCCAGAATCTCTCATATAAAGAAAAATGACATTCTGGTTATCAAAACATCTAAGAAAGGAAGTTGGTCATCCTTTTCCCATTCAACTTTAAATTTGATAGTTGAGTGAAGTTTATTAAGGTTGTTGAAAACACCAAACAAAATCACTTTGTTTGGCCACACAAAAAATATATCATCCACATAAAAAAAAAAGACATATAATATGGAAACCAAAACAATGCCATTTTTCTTCATATGAGAGATTCTGGCCATCAAATTGATTGGAAATCAACAAGAATATAAATACATAAAAAAAAAATTGTCGAAAGTTGTTTAATCAAAATCCTGCCTAATTTCAACACCTCCCAAGGTCACTTTAAACTTAATAACTTCCTGACCTCCTGTGTCCTTAGGGAAATTCCTAGATCAGGGGTTACGTAGGCGTTTGTTGACCAGTTTTTTCCTGCCAGAAGACAACGTGAGATTGAAGAGGACGCACGAATGTATCGGAACTAGTTCTCCAATATCAGACTTCTGACAGTTTGTTCCGTTTTCTGTGGTTTTTCACTAGATATATAACATTACATAAAATAAGCATGCAATTCCAATGGCCTTTTATCAATTTAAACGTGATCACGGAAGCCTACAGTAAAGTATGTAGTGAAGACTGACATCGGAATCCTTCAAACAAATTTGTTAGAATTGTTTCAAACATGGAGGAAATAATTACCAGAACAGCACAGGACCTGGAATATGTTCTTATAAAATATGATTAACCTAAGTATCTGTCTTTTCAGTATTTTTCTTCATATCATGAAGTTAACTATGATTACACTCGGCCATTTCAGCAACATTTCGATGTCCAAAAGGGACTGACATGATATGAAAAAAAACCAAAAACCTGGATTTTCAGTTTTGGATAGAAGCTTATGCAATTTTGTGAGTTGGCGTCAATTTCAAAGCTTTGATTTTGATATTGTTAACATTACCAGCTTAAAAAGCAATGGATTTTTGGATCGGAGGGATCACTTTCGTAATTATAGCATTGCACCGAATTGGTTGGGTGTAATTTTGGGATTCTTTTCCGTCCTATAAACTGGAAGTTTAGAAATGCTCTGTTATTTGGCTCTACATCGTTTAACGATCTTGCTGTATGAATATTTCACTTCAGAAAAGGCTGCGCTTTATTTTTAAAGCCATAAGTCAAAAATTTTGCCATTGCACTGTAGAAAGAACGGGAATTTGCATGTAATGAAATATATGGATGCTGAGCATATTTTCAGTGGCGCCACTGCTTTAGTGTTCATAAATCGTTCAACTAGAGTACCACTAAATGCATCAGACTGACAGCACTTGTGCATACTTTTAATAAAAATCACGACATCATCGTTCCCATGTGCACATTAGCGTTATTTGTATAATGTTAAAAGAAAAACACGCTCTACATTTTTTGGTGAACAGCATGATCCATCATCTTCAGAAGACAAAGTAAGTTTGTTTATTGTTAAGCGCAAAGCTACACAATGGATTATCTGTGCTGTGGCCACTACGGGTATTGAAACTCGGTTTTTAGCGTTATACGCCTTCGGACTTACCACTCATCCACTGCGGGGGGGGTATAAAAAAGAAGACATGAGGCTCGTTTATATATTATAATTTGAAAATAAGAATAAGAAAATATAAAATTGTAGTTGATAAATTAAAAACGAATGATTAGACCTTGGCTGAACATGTGGCGAACTCTTTACATATAATTGATTGGGATAATGTGAAATTAAACAGGTGAATAAAAAAAAACGAATTAAATATAAGAGAGTCATTAGAAATTGTGAAAAACAAAATGATGATTTTGAAAATATTTAGGTTCAGGTGCCACGGAAGTGAATTTGTGGAATTCTATTTTGTAAATGGCACCACTGTACAATATGCTAATTGTACACGTATATTTACTCTAGTGCATCAAGCCATAAACGAACCTCGTGTTCTTCTTCGTCTCATAAAGATGGTGGACCATGTTGTCCACCGAAACATTTAGAACGGGTTTTTTAACATTATGAAAATAAAGTTATTGTTCTCATGGAAAATTTGATGTTGTGATTTTTCGTGATTAATTTAGAATGCTATAAACCTCTTATATAAAAATGAGACAGTTTACTAATCAGACAAAAAAATAAAAGAAAAACTATTGGACATGCATTACAACAATTAAGACATTAACAATCAATCTAAGATATTACTTGATGCTAACAGAATGAAGTTAAAGACTATGAGCACTAAACAAGAACAAGGAGGAAACAAGAATATTTCTTTACTTTCAAGTGTCTTAGGTCCTTTTTGAAGAAGCGGCTAAGCAAAAAGATTTGATTCAAGAAAAAAGACAAGAAAAGGGCTTTATATAAGCGTTCTGTAATTTAGGCCCACAGTTATTATAGAGCAATCTCACCGGAAACCCTTAGAAGTGGACAGTTCCTTCACTAAGTTGTTTTCTGTGTTCTACCTCTTGTGGTATAGCTGAACAGGAGTTTGTACTAATCCTTCAGTATTATAACAAACTTGAACAGAAATCTGATTCTTGGATAAATTTTGAAGCAAATTATCAGTGGTGGTCGATTATAATGTCTAACAAAACGATTCGCCATTTTAAACAGGTATGAAACATTACAATTGAAAACAGTATAAGAAGGAATAAATAGTAAGGGATACTTTAATTTAAAATATCTTTAAGATAATTTATAACAAATTATAGGAATTATTTAGTTTTAGAATGGAGTCGAAATGTTTCTTGATATATCTTTTAAGTTTTTTTTTTATTATTATTATTTAAATTTTCTTAGTGATGATTAAAAATAATTGATATATAGTTAACACCCTCCGGTAGCTCGGCGGTAAGATAGCTTATAACATTACAAGTCTGGTTTTGATATCCGCAGTGGCACAAGCACAGATAGTCTATTATATAGCTTTGTTCTTAAGAACAAACAAAAGAGTTACATTTTTTGCTGATTCTTTATAAATCAGTAAACGTAGTTTTATGAACGTCATCGATACAAAACTATTTTTAAAGCAAAAAAACTACTCGTTTGGCTATCTGCACTGTGCTCACCAAAGATATAGAAACCCAATTTTTAGCTTGTAAAGTCTTAAGTTTACCTTTGAGCCACTAAGAGGCTAAAACTCTGATCACACGTAAATTCAGTTAAAAGATTGATCATTCTAACCAAATCTGCTTTCATTAAGATTCTTATAATTAATCGTTCTATTCAATGACAACAATAAACTGTCATTTTTCTTTTTCCAGTTTATTTAGTTTTGTATGTTTCGCATGCGTTTTATCTTTTCAGGTCTACAATTAACATAAGTTGTTGTTGTTTGAAGTTAAGCACAAAGCTACACAATGGGCTATCTGTGCTCTGCCCACCACGAGTATCGAAACCCGGTTTCTAGCATTGTAAGTCCACAGACATGCCGCTGTGCCCCTGGGGGGCTTTAACATAAGCAAAAGCTCCGAGTGGCACAACAGTATGTCTGCGGACTTATACTGCTAGAAACCGGGTTTCGATACCCGTGGTGGGCAGAGCACAGATAGCCCTTTGTGTAGCTTTGTGTTTAGAAACAAACAACAACAATATAAACTAAGTTACCAAGAGCTACAATATTCTGCTGGTTTTTAAACTTTCCAACAGAAGATTTCCTGCCGGTTAAATACCCCACGACAAAAATATTTGTGATTTAGGTTACGCGAGTCTTCTCTAGGGAATTTTGTATCGCTTTTACATTTTAACCACTTACACTCATTCAATATTTTTGCTTTACAGTGTTGCTGAGAAGCTGTAATAAACTCAGACTTGGAAATTTTCTAAAACACAGCTTACCAATAAGTAAATAGACACTTCTGAGAATGTAAATTGACCATCTTCATAACGTCATATGCAAATAATCCACGTATAAAGACTTGTATTTCAATAAAGACTAGAAAATTCAACTAACAATGCGACAAATAAAATAATCCCGGTAATTAAATGCATTTTCACGAGAGTGCATTGAACGAGAAGATAAGTCAACGAGAAATCGCCAGGTAACTTATAATCCATGTTCGCGGTTAATATGGTAATGTTGAGAAACAGTAAATGAACAGTTACACAGTCCGATCGTCCAAATCCAACATAACGGACTACAAACGCTGTGAGAAGACGTGTGGAAAATGATCCACGTCAAACGGCCAATACTGTTGCAGGACAGACGCAAGTATGGCCCATTAATACCTGAAGTTATCTTTGTAGCATGTGCTACAATGGGAGAGTAGCTAGATAGGAGCCCTTCCTTACTCTAGACAATATCGGACGTGGACAACAGTGGACATTACAGACGATTTCACACCCCTTTGATTTGATATGCCAAAATTCTTCAATCTGCACCATCTTCATGGCAGTATTTTTGTATGGTATAGGGCGCCATTTGAGCAGGCGGACAATCACAGCTGGTGGCATGCAGGGACCTTCAATGATGCCCGATACTTAACAATCCTCGAGCAATGCTTTCTATCTGTCTTACCACACAAGATAGTATTTTCATGAAAGATTGGGCCCCTGCTCATTTAGCCCGTGTCACAAAACCATGGCTTGAAAGTTACCACTCTCCAGTTCCAGGCCAGTCGTTGGATACTAACTCTATCAAGCATGTGTGTGATCCATCCTTGATCGTTTCCTGCGAAAGAGTTCCAAACAAACAAATTACACCAGAAGTAGTGTACAATATCAAAAGCTCACATTTCATATCTTGTAAATACAATTTGTAACTATGTTTCTACCTTAAACATTGCAAAGGGCAGACTCACTAAATGTTACTGGTAATCTTGTACCCGTTGTTTCATGTTTGTTTATTTAACAAAATATCATTTCCGCTTGATTGGGTATATATATTTTCTTATTCGTAGACAGTGTGTTTCACATAAAAGTAATTCTAGAATACCATTGAGGCTTGGTTTACACCTTTGAAATTTCTTGAGCGTAATGGTTTTTGTTTAATGATTTCTGTCCTCCTCCCTCAAATTCAAATCAGGCAAAATCTCAAATAAATGATTCAATAATATGATTTCGCATTGTATTTAGTTTCTGTTGAATATCTTTATGATACATTGTGTGGTGGTCGTTGGTAACGAGATTATTACTTGTTCGTTCAACGGAGTGACTTTAACCCTCGTACTTAAACGTATTCACTGGAAATTCCGTGTGAGTGCGCTTTGTCATTTCTGTGTCAGCTTCAGTGATGAAAGAAGTCGATTACACTCTCGCGATCAAGTTAATGAAACAATTATGACGCACGTGTTATAGGAAAATTACATTAAATGTTGCTCTCGTAAATACAAGAATCACTAGGTACGCCAAGTAACTACATATTTATAAGTGTTATTTTATGAATGTTTTTTGGGTGTATAACTAACTATACGCCGTACAATTCCATATAACTTGCTTTGGAGTGGATGCTTTATAAAAGTATTTGGTGTATATTATTTTTTAATTCGGTATTTCACGGAAGTACCTAGTTCACCATTTTGTTAGGCCTGCATATATTATACTTATATGTGTGTTTAAAATCTGATGGTCAAACTTGTGACAAAAGTACAGCTATCCCGTCTCTTATCTGCAAATATTCACTGAATACAACGCTAAACACATTCATTCACACCCTTAAAAACGTGAAACTAATAATCACTTGACTTTTTATATTAAGTTTTGGGTTGGCAAACATCGTTAAATTTCGATAAGAAATATCACTAAAATGTTTAATTGGTCTTATTCAGAAGAACCATATGCATTGATTCCCTGCTTGAGTCTGTTCTCAAGACTTAGTATCACAATTTTCCACCACGCGGCGACAAAATTACTTAGTAACATATTGATGCAAAATTAAGTTGATGAATAGCCGTTAACCATCTAGTTATTGCTTAATAATTACACGACCTATTGGCTGCCGTCTTAAAGTGTTATGTTGTCAAGGGCAGTTGTGAGAAAGGAATGGTTGGAATTTGAACCGGAGGGAGGGAGGCTATGAACTAGTAAACGTGTGCTGGGCTGCTGCTGGACCCTTAATCATTCAAACTTTTATTACTGCTTTTCTATTAGCAATATAACCAAATATGGGTAACTTCAAAGCTTGGATTTTTAAGCACTTTTCCTAAGCTGTTTCTTTCTCTAACAAGCTATGCTAGTGTTAAACTATAAAGAATCGAATGTAGAAAAGCGTCCGTCTGCATCAAATCTCCATTTTTTTTGTTGTTGTTTCAAAACGCATAAGTTTGTTCGCGTGGAATACAATATATTGTGTTGTTACGTAATATGAATTCCTGAAGAGGTTTTTTTTTTATGTACCTCTTGGAGTTACAGGACGTGATTCTTGAACACTGCCCTGATACGATTCTTCAGATGTTTCTCGAGTATTCTATCAAAAAATCTTAACAAATAACTATCAACTTAGACTTACTTGTCAAACGTGTTCTGCTTTCAGTAGCATATTTGGAGGTTTAGAACTTACTTTAATCACGTTATATTTCATTACAATTTGGATAATTAAATATATAGTTTTAAGAAATTGTTGTGAATGTTTTTATTTTGTTTTTGATTAAAGGGTTTATGTCATCTGTCGTAAGGTAGAGAATGTGCTGAGTCACTTTTCATAAATTCAAGATTTAGATCATGACTGGCATATTTTTTGGTAGTTTAGATATAATAAAGTTTTAATACGTTATCGAGAAGTGATATATTTGATTGACGGGACAGTGTTGTTCGTCTTAGCCCCTCAGTGGCTCAATAGTAAATACGAGGGATCACACCGCTTAAAAACGGGATTTTGATGCTCGTGGTGGATACAGCACAGATAACCAATTGTGTAGCTTTTGCGCTTAGCAACAAACAAACTGCTCGTCTTAATGTAAAAAAAAATACATTTTCTTAAATGTTTAAGTCAATATTTAAACTTTGACTGTCCGGTAATTAATATGACAGTACAATCATGCTAAACACATATTTGATGCGCACTTTAGACATTGTTCAATAGTCAAACATCATATTCCCCAGTTGGACAGCGGTATGTCTGCATTTACTACGCTAAAAACCGGGTTTCGACACCCGTGGTGGGCTGAGCACAGATAGCCCATTGTGTAGCTTTGTATCATAACTACCAACAAACAAACATTATGATTTCAACTCGTCACTTGAACAAGCAGATGACGGGTATTTTTCCAGTAACATTACTTTGTGTTTAATAACTCCAGTAACATTACTCTGTGTTTAATAACTCCAGTAACATTACTCTGTGTTTAATAACTCCAGTAACATTACTCTGTGTTTAATAACTCCAGTAACATTACTCTGTGTTTAATAACTCCAGTAACATTACTCTGTGTTTAATAACTCCAGTAACATTACTCTGTGTTTAATAACTCCAGTAACATTACTCTGTGTTTAATAA